GGCCTTCTGCTCAGCCAAGATCCTCGCAGCCTCCTTCTCCTGCTCCTTGGTGTAAGGAGTGGTACTAGTGCCACCCCTCGTCTCTACTCTACACGTCATGGTGTTCCAACAGCCCAACGGAAAGAGGAGACACCAAAGGGTCCCCCAGAGGGAAAACCCAACGAGCAGACCGTACATAGGATAGTCATCCATGGTGTTTGGTGCACGACAGTGATTGTCCCACTCCTCACCACTTAGATCTACCCACTAGACTGACTGACTGACTCTCTAAGGACCACAGAATCTTGATAGCATCCTGTCAACTATGGTTAGTAGCCTGTAACCAATACTATGGCTGTCACTACAGGACTTACTGCTGATGAGGAGGCATTTAAGGAGATCCCCCGTAACTCCTCAGGAACTATTTAACGTTGCAGACAGGACGACGCGATCAGCAAGTCCTCTCAAGACTTAGACAGCCAGTTGTGCAGCCCACAACTCGGATTTTGGGCCTACCGGTCAGTACCGGTCCGTGGGAGGGTTTGTGCCCTCCGGGTCAGTCGAGTCGTCAGACACAGCCTTTAGCCCTACTCAGCCTGTGTGGGTTTGGTCAACAAGGCTCTATCCTTCATACACGGAATTCCTATCACCTGGACAGAAGAGACTCAATGCAGAAAGAAGAGACGGACAGACTCAGCAAGTAGCATGGTGTAAGTGCACATCCATAGGGCGAGGGAATAGGCTGAAGGCTTGGCGAGATTATACCAACTCCAGCTTGGTCAATTTTGTGGTCAACAGCCCCGGTCAATGTTGGTCAGCGATTGGTCAACACCGGTCAACGCCTTGGTCAACACCTTAGTCAACCCTTGATTCGGGTATGGCTGCCGCCACTCTCTCCCTCACCAACCCTCGCTTCTCTTTCCCGCACCTTTCTCCTTCCTCACTTTCTTCCTTGGCTATGGCTTCTCTCTCCTTCGTCTCTCCTCCCTTCTCCTTTACTTCACCTTCTTCATTTCAATGACCCTGTGTCCGAGCTCCGCGGCTATGGCCGCTTTCTCCTTGGTCCGCACAACACTCTCTCTCTCTCTCTCTCTCTCTCTCTCTCTCTCTCTCTCTCTCTCTCTCTCTCTCTCTCTCTCTCTCTCTCTCTTTTGTCGTTGTCTTCTGTGCAGGTACGCGTCACCTCACTCCGCAGCGCAGCTATGGCGGATCTTCTCCGAAGGTGCACCTTCGGCTATGGCGCCTGACTGGCGCGTGACTCCTTCCCTGCTGGCAACGACTATGGCGCGTGGGGTAACGGGAACCAGCTCTGATACCAACGCAATCAGACTCGCTTTTACTTCCACTTCACATGCATGCAAACAGGTGGCGATTCACTCTGGCGCACAACGCCCACACCAAGCTCAGAGATATGGCGACCGTGAACACGGTTCAGATGTAAACTCGCTTCAACAAACTATGGCGCATCAGCCCCTATAGATCACAACTCTCGTCACTGTGTTCAATACTACCGTTCACCCGTACTCAACTCTGGATCACCCTGAGTACACCCACGCACACTCACTCGTACACGCGCACTAACCTCTAACACTACCTCTACTAACCTTTGCTACGTTGTCTCTCTTCAGCCCACTTCATCTTCGGGCAACCTGCAGACCACCTTCGCACAAGACACTGTAGCAGCGCTTCCGCATGGCTTACGCAGCGAATGCCTGAATGGCTGGGCGCTTCCTCTTGATTTATACTTCTGTAACTCGGTGGTCTGCCCCTTTCCCAGGCCCTTGGTGCACACAGTCCCACACGGTACTTGCTTGACTGGACTCTGACTGACTGGGACCGGTATCGCTGACTGCATGGGTTTGCACTGCCAACTCGATGCAGTCGCACTGCCGACGTAACGCAGTTGGGCTCACCACTTGCCCACTTGCCTCCGATTAAACGTGAGACACTTCGAAAGGCCACTTCCGGACCTTCCGGAAGTCTGTGGACTTGGCCTTTCGAGTACTGTAGCAGCTATGACCTTGACCTTTCAGGACTGTAGCAGCTACGACCTTGACCTTCAGAATACCTACAGCTACGACCTCTACAAAGTTGTGACTCCTAATCGACAGACCTACAGATCGAACCCCTACCGCTACACAGACCTACAACAAACGACAAACAACTACCAAAACACAGGTCACGGGTTCAAACACTCGGGCGTCAACTCGATACTGTACATGGGCAAAGTGAGGTCTGGGGATCGAACTCTAGGGCCCACATCTGTGACTGCAGAAAGGTGAAAACCGTTTCAATAGTCGTAGCGTGCCCCCTCATCTGGGAGCTCGCCTTTGGGGGGGATTGTACCAACCAGGAGATTGACACGTGGAGTGCAGGGGAAGGAGAATAGGAGGGAGAATCAGATCACGGGTTGAATGTGCACGTGGAGCGTTGGGGCCAAAAAGAGTTAACTGTGCATGGAGGAGTGTTAACTGTTGGGTTGGACTTACGAGGAGAATCGAGTGTTGGTGGAGTTAACTGTGCATGGAGGAGAGTTTACTGTTGGGTTGGACTTACGAGGAGAATCGAGTGTCGGTGGAGTTAACTGTGCATGGAGGGGAGTTAACTGTTGGGTTGGACTTACTAGGAGAGTTGAGTGTCAGCTGAAGAGATAACTGCAGGCAACGGTTCACTATCTTCCTAAGTCTATATTGCCACCCTCCTTCATGGAAAAAAGAGTGCAACGAAAAAGAACAGATGTATGCTTCCCCGGAGAGAGATTGCGAGCAGGAGAGAGTGAGAGTGGAGAGGATGAAACCGAAGCAAAGTATTGTCTCTTAAGTTTATTTCTTCTGCTGTTGTTGTGTGTGTGTGTGTGTGTGTGTGTGTGTGTGTGTGTGTGTGTGTGTGTG